CACATTTTCTTGACAATCAAAATTTAAACGATCGTTTATACAACTATACAAAATTTAATTGTATAAGACAATAGTGTTTATACTAATGTTGATAGAAAAAAAAAACATAACACATTAAACGAGAGTAGGATACTGAGAAAAAAACTGGAAATTGAAGTGGAAGTTCCATATTTGACCCTACATGGTCTGCACTCTACACTATCATCGAGATCCTAAACATAGACTGAACCATCAACTTGACTCTCTTTCTCTCTCTCTTAAATCACCGCCGCAGCGATCAACGAACCTACTCCAGTCATGGCCCACTTCAAGCAAACCAATCGCCGTCGTTCTTCCTCCTTATGCCACCGTCACCCTTCCGCTAAACCCACCACTGGTTTCTGCGCCTCCTGCCTCCGTGAACGTCTCTCCACCATCGAGTCTCAGTCCCCAGCTGCCATCCAAACCCCTGAGCTCCGTCGTATCCGATCCTACTCCGTTCGCAACGCTTCCTCCGCCTTTTCGGAGCAGCCGCGACGGAGATCGTGTGACGCTAGGTCAAGCGCAAGCTCTCTCCATGATTTGTTTGTCGATGATGACCTTGATAACTCGATTCGGAAGCCTCTCGTCCCCGATTTGAAAGAGGAAGAGGAAGATTACTACGACGGAGAAGAAGATATCAAAGGTTTTGATGAGGGAAACCCGATGAAGATCGAAGAAATCGACAGTGGAGAGCACAAGACGATGAAGGAGTTTATAGATCTGGATTGGGGAAACCAAATCAAAAGGAAGAATGGTAAAGATTTGAAGGAAATCGCATCGGTTTTTAGCAGGAAACTGAAGAATCTTTCGCTGAATCATCAGAAGAGCAAGCGAAATGAGGAAAAATCAGATTCCAGATTCGTCGGAAATGTGATTGGTCGTCGTTCGTGTGATACAGATCCTAGATTGTCTCTCGACGGAGGTAGGAACTCGTTCGAGAAGCCTAGGGCTTCATGGGATGGATGTTTGATCGAAAAAACGTATAGCAAGCTGACGCCATTGTCTACTGTGACGGAAGATGCTAAAACCATTCCGGAGAAGGTACCGGAAGACGAAGGAGAGGAGAAGAGCCCAGGTGGGACAGTTCAGACGAGGAACTATTACTCGGATTCTCATCGAAGAAGAAGCTTCGATCGATCGATTTCTATCAAGAGACAAGGATTGCTCGAGGTTGATGAATTGAAAGGTATCTCAAACGCAAAGGTATCACCTGAAACTGTTGGCTTGTTTCATGGTGCGAAGTTATTGGTTACAGAGAAGGAACTTAGGGATTCGAACTGGTATTCGATCAAAAATCATAAACCAGAGGGCATAGAATTAGGCTCTAAAGGCAACATCTGTGTAGCTGCTAGTGTGGGTAAGGAAGTTGGTGTAGAGATAAAGAAACCTAGAAAGAAATGGCCCAAGGGATGGAACATTTGGGGACTGATACAGAGGAAATGCGAGACCAAGAACGAAATCAAAACCGAGCAAAGTTTGAAACTCGAAGGAAATGCGGTTGAGGGTTCTTTGGCCGAGTCTCTGTTGAAGCTTAGGAGAGTAGCTAAAGGAGAAACCAATGGTGGTGTTAGTGAGAAGCTTCTGAAAAGTTACAGCATAAGCGCGAGAAAGTCGTGTGATGGCGTGTTTAGTGGAGCTAACATTGTCAGTGGATTTGAAGGTGGAAGAAGCTCATGTGATGGTCTGTTTCATGGGTCTATTAACAGTGTTGAGGTCGGGAGAAGCTCATGTGACGGTTTGGTTAATGGCAAACAAAATCATCATCTTCACCACAGAAGTGCAAATGTTAGTACGTATGCCCGAGAAAACCTTGACAACAGTCTGTTTAGATTCTATTTGACACCGGTAAGGAGCCATAAGACTAGCAAATCTGGGAAGAGTAGGCTGATGAATTAGTTTGATCTGACATTTGTGTTAATTCATGAATCTGTTGTAATTAGCAACTAGTGTATTGGTCTATAGATAAGTGTACGTAGATCCTATTGCCATTTCGTTCATACGGCTAAGATTCCGTATATGTAATGAATAATTAGTTCCTTCTAACTGTTCCGATTTGGATTCATCAATCAAGAACTCTACTTAGGTGCTTAGAACTGTCCTAGACATCGACTGTGTATTATATCAAGTTTTATACTTTCCAGTTTTGACTTGTGAATATCATCCCTTGCTCACTCCCCATCTTCTCCGAATGATCGGTGTCTAGCCAAATCAATGTCAACGTAGCAATATTTGCATTTCTGAAGAACATATCTTCTAGTCCTGTCACCAAAGTAGCGAGCTGCACCTAAAAGCTGGTATAGTTGTGGTCTCGTGCTCGTGGTACTAATAGCACATCAACTTTACAAATTATCTGATTATTTGCTTATACAAATACGACATTGTTTGTAATATATGTCATTAAATACTCCCCGACTTCTCGGTAACTCAATCAGACCGGTGAAGTTGCACGGGCTTTGAATTGAGACCGAAACCAAGAGGGAACAATGGGTCATACGAATTGGCACGAGCGTTTAGTGGCAAATGCTCGACACATTTGAACCAGCTCACCGGTAACTTCCCCTCAAAGTCACAATCTCCAAAAATGACGTCAGCTATTCCTTGTCCTTCTGTTCCAGGTAGCCAAGCAGCGACTAGAGCCTCTGTTTCTCTAAGAACCCTTGGTTCCAAAACCACAGGTCGTCCTGAGATCAAGATCACCAGAGTTGGGATTTTCTCTGCGACTGCAGTGACAATGTCGCTACCGTTAAAGGGTATTATGAGTTCCGAGTTATCGCCTGTCATCTCTGCATAGGGCGATTCCCCCACTGCAACAATGGCATAAGAGAATCCTTCACTCGAGGCTAAGGTTTCCTTTGATGGAGTCTTCTCGTAGATCACTTCGGTTTTGTCTCCAACTGCTCCTTCAATGGCATCCAAAAGCGTTGTGCCTGCACTTCAGACAAAGATGTATACATAGGGATTAACTTTTTGACAGCATCTCTGCCAATATGAGTCATTGAGTCTCTTTCCAAATTATATACCACTCCCTTTAATTACCGATTGTGATCCTGCCGCTTAGACCGAACCATGTCTTTGTCCATCCTCCACACTGATAACCAAGATCATCTGCGTGTGTTCCCGTGACTAGAATTTTCTTGGCTTTGCGATCTAGTGGTAGCAACGGGTTATCAGCATTTTTGCCATTCTTTAGCAGAACTAATGACTTTCTAACTGCTTCACGCGCAAGTTCTCTATGTTCCTGCAGGCATGGAAACAGAGTCAATCATGCTCTCACACAACTGTACTCGAGACGAGAGAGCTCACCTTGCAGCCAACAGTTCCCAACAAAGATCGGTCCGTGAGAGGATGTTCAAAGAGACCAGCAACGAACTTCACTCTGACTATTCTTTCAACAGCATCATTGACCCGAGCCATTGGTATTTCCCCTGACTCCACCAGATCTGTCATGTCCTTTATGAACTGTTTGTACTTAAATGGAACCATCACCTGCAATAACATTGATTAGAGAATCTTCGCTTCATCAATCATCTGGGACAATGAAAATCAAGATGGATTTCAGACACTACCATGTCAATTCCAGCATTAACCGCAGTTTTAATGCAGTTGCGGTAGTTTGATCCCCGGGGCTCACTAAGCCGGTCCAAACCTTCCCAGTCTGAAACTAGAAATCCCTGGTAACATAACCAAGGAATCTAATCAACACACCTCTAGCTTATTTAGATTTTTCATTAGTTTCATTACCATTAAATGTACACCAACCTTGAAACCGAGTTTTTCCTTGAGAACTTCTGTTAAGAGGAAATAATCGGCGTGGAGGTTAGTCCCGTTCCAACTGGAGTAAGACGCCATAACTGTGGAGACTCCCTGAGCAAGACAATTAAGATACGGAGGAATGTGTATCTTCTCCAAGTCTTCGTATGAAGCAATGGTGTTCCCTTCGTTTATCCCCTTGTCAGTACCGCCATCTCCAACAAAGTGTTTGGCGCACGCGACGACATTGTTTCTATCACCCCGTGAACAAATATGAGAAATGACATCAAACCTATTAAAGACTCCAAATCAAGCCACAGTGTAATGATTACCTTCCTGCAACAAAAGGATAACCATTTGGATGTTCTTCTGGTGGCACACCTTGTAGGCCCGAGACAAGCGAAGTCATCTCACAGACAAGTCCAGTATCTTCTCCATAACTCTCATAGCACCGACCCCATCTCGGATCTCCCAAAACCTGTCAGAAAGACAACAATAACAACTGTCCATTCAATATTTCCAAATCATTATGTTAGATAATTCGGTGTATGAAAGGGACTCACTGCGACGCAGGGAGCAAACGCCCAGTGCGCACCGCTCGCCCTTACTTCAAGTGCTGTTGCAGCCCCAATTCTTCTGACCAATTCTGCATCTCTTTCGAGTTTACCAAACAAACGTAGACTGTTATCACAGAAATAGCGCCAGGCAACAATAGATAGATGCACCTATCTTGAACACAAATCGGATTCTCACCACAAAGGAAAGTTTCATGAGAAAAAAAACCTGGTGGCTCCGAGAGCGATGTTGTGGGGGAAGACGGTTGCGCCGTAYACATTGTTGTTGCCGTGAACGGCGTCTGTGCCGTAGATGATCGGAATTC